GGGGGGGGGGGGGGGGGCATAAAGCAGTTTCATTCCTGCAAGTCTAGGCAGAGCCTATACAAAAACCCAGCATCTCTTCTTTAAAAACATCCAATTAACCAAATGGCAAATTGATGGACCCAAAACTTGCCTCCGAAGGGCAGAATAAAGATGAGACCAGGAAAATATTGAGGATACTATGTATTGCCCAAGTTCACTAATCATTTGATTGGTGGAAAAAAACTGAAAGGCAGTTGGGGTCAGCTTCCCTTTTTTTAAATCCACGGAAACTTCCAAAATAGCAGGGGAAAGGATAACAGCCACCAGGGAAATTGCTTCCCAGAAAGTTTCTATCACTGCAGAAGCAATGTAATCTCTTAATTGAGTATGCAGAAGATACTAGAAGCACGCAACTTGTCAACACTTGCATTCATTCATTTTAAACCACAGTTTATTTTTCTGCTTTACATTTAGTATAGCCAATGAACAACCTACTCCATTATAAAGACCAAGGAAAAGATTTCCACATACAGCTAATTCCAAAGGGAGCGTGTGGAGCTTCTCTTATTTAATAGGAGGTACACCAAGCTCGGAATCCACAACTGGTTTAAATCCTCAGTCTTGGTTCAGTCTGTTATAGTATTGTAAGAATGAGCTGAAAAGCTTACATTGAAGACAGGCAGTTACATAAGGATTAAAAGTAAGAAACCCAAGAACTGTTATCTTAGACATATTCACCTTTTCCTTAAGTATACGTTTTTGAGCTTTCCTACTAGAGAATTAATTTATTAGCTAGAGCCAGTGGACTGATGCAATGGCAGTTCCTAGCTAAACAACATCAGATTTGCTTCTGATCGTAAGTAATGAAAAAAAGAAACAAAATTAAAACTGAAAGTCTGGATATGAGAAAACCCCTAACTTTTGCAGACTCCTAGTGATGTGGAAAACTTATTATACTTCCTGTAATACACTACCTCTGGCATATCCAGAGAATTGTTCCCCCACCCCTTGAGCATTTGTTTATACTACTGGAAGACTGCTAGTTCCCCTCCACACCCCACAAGCTTAGCCACAAGAAGAATCAACCTGTAACCAGGAAGGCTAATCTCCCAGGGAGCTGTGGGAAAGTTTGGCTATTCCATGCCAGTCAATCCACAAGAGCACAAGAGGGAGCAGGATGATTAGGAACTATTACTGTCCAGGTCACATGCAAAGTGGCTGATGGCTGCTTTTCCAGTTTAGATGGATCCAAAAATGCAACATTAAATTTAAAAGGAGAAAATGAAATCTGTGCCAAGAGCAGAAAGTTTCATACCCATAACCTGTCCCCTTCTTGCTATCCCTGAAATGATACCAATACTAAACAGGTCCCACAGTGACCTCTGCTGGCTAGATGTAAGTGCACATCTGCCAAAAGCACTGACAATTTTCTTGCCATTTTCCAGTTGGTCTTATAAAAAAGTATCATTTTGGAACCAAGTTCTAGTTTTTTTGTATGTTTTCTAGCTTGAGTATGAACCTAGATGAGACTTCTGGGACCTGACTGAAGTGTCAGCCTTAAAATACAGAACTACTGTGCGCGCTACCACTCTTGAAAGCAGCCCGACCCAATCAAGCTGATGACCTGAGAATTGATCCCAGATCCTATTAAGCTGTACAAGAAATAACTTTACTAGGTGTTTATAAAGTCATAAGCAAGCCCCATTACATCTGAGGGGAAATGCATCACTGGTTTGCATTTAACCATAGATATAGTGCAATGTCATGTATTGTGAATAACTATTTAGTTAATACTACTTGCCTGTATATTCCCTGTGAAATAGAACAGCCCTGGAGTAGCACTGATAACTATTCCTTCACAATTATTTAGTCCAAGCCTCATATAATAGTCCCTGACCACCCCCATACTTAAGTATGACAGTGAAGGAAATTAAACCACAAGGCTGTTTAGTATGATTGATTTAATCTAGATATACAAGATCAGAAAGTGTGATTTTTGCCTATTTTCCTGGACACAGGAAGAAAAGGAGCCATTATGAAGTTTTGGAACTACTTACATTTGAGCCATGCCAGAAATCTGTTTTCAATGCTGGGGTGCAATCTCCATGCAAGACTTCAGTTTACAGATAGAAGCAATTTTAAAACCTCATTGACAGAACGGAAAGCCAAGTTTAAAGTGAACAGTTTGTTTTAAGCTTATTACCAATGAAATCCTAGGACACAGGAAATAATAAGCTCTCTTCGCTTTTTTTTTTTTTTTTTAGGCAAGCATTACTGAAGCCCAACAGC